GACTAAAATTGGAACATGAAGATGAAAATCAATTTTGGAAGTCATTTGTTAACGAGGTGAGGTAAATAGGCATTAACGTTAACATTTCAAAGATAATATTTATTATTAACATAATTATTATTTATAAATTTTTAATACTTCATTCAGCTTAAAATAAATAAAAAAATGTATTATTGCAAATATGTGATCCGTTTTCTAGCTATTAGTCAAGGTATTTGATCGGATTAGGTTAATTTATTAGCTTAAGAAATACTCATTTCATCAATAAAAAAGATCCTAGAACTTCGGAATATATGTTAATTCAAGAATATGCTGACGGAGGTAACTTGCGACAGTACCTGAGGCTAAGTTGTCAAATATTAACTTGGCATAACAGACTTCAATTGGCTTGTCAAGTAGCTAATGGAATGCATATACTTCATAAAGAAGGGATTGTGCATAGAGATCTTGTAAGCTAACTTAATTAAATATGAATTATAATTTAGTAAAAAAAATTAACGTTAAATTTATCGTTATTGTTATCATCTTTTTTAAAACAGCATTCGAAAAATATCCTAGTGCAAAAAGGGGTTGCCAAATTAACCGATTTTGGAATGTCGCGAATTATCAATGCCAATTCTTCGACCAATAATCAAGTATTTGGCATTACACCCTACGTTGCACCAGAGCGTCTTCGTGATGGTAAATATCCGCTTGATACGCGTTCAGATATCTATTCGTTTGGTGTTATTTTATGGGAGATTGCGAATCCGCATGGAAAATATGCTTTTGAAGGAAGAGAATTTGATTGCACGTTTATCTTGTCGATAATAGATGGATTAAGAGAAACACCAAATTCAGAAACAGAAAGTGATTACGTAAAGCTTTACCAGGAATGTTGGGATCCGAAACCTGAAAATCGTCCATTAATGTCATCCGCATTACAAAGAATCGAAATATTGATATGATATCAATCAGGTTTCCTTATCCTGTGCTACGAGATTCGATTGGTCAAATATACTACGCTACGAAATCTAATTCAGAAAAAAATCTCAGAGGAATCGGAAAATGATCCAGATGTAGATCAGTGAAAATTTAATATATACGTATAGCGTTAGTTTTTTGCCATTCCGAAATCTGTTTGTAAATATCAAAGTTTGTTTTTTATTATAACACCAGAAAATGAAAATACATCAATGTATTAATTAATGAACATAGGATCTTTTGCTGTAAATATAATTTTTGATGTATATGTTAATTCAAGTATTATCATCAGTTTTAATAATATATAGAGTATATACTACAGTCCCCGGCAAAAAGTAATGGCGGTCAGTTTTTTTATTATATTTCATTCTTTCATTATTTCATTTAATTCTATAATAAAATTTAAAAATATTATTTTGAAAGTGCTTCTGAGTAGGGCATTATGTCCCTAAAATATCGGTATTGGGTGTGTTCTCTTTCTGTATCAATGCAAGTTCGATTATCGTTATCATTTAATGTTCTAAAAATTTTGTTTTTAACTAAACAAAACTAAAATTCGCAATAATTCGAGAAATATTATTCTGATTAAAATGAAACTACTACCAAAACGTCCGTCTTATTGAGGCGAATATGATAAGACCAAAATTACAAAAAAACCTGCAATCGGGAAAATGACTTGCCGTGATGTGTTTCTATTAGATTTTCGCAAATTCATCACTTTTTTATTTTTTTTAAATTGTTATTATCTTGTTAGAAATCCAACACTACTATTTATATATTTTGCTTCTATAAATAATGTTAGTATTGTAGTAAAATTTATATAACAATCTATCTCATTACCATTACTTTCGCCGGTGATTGTACATGTATTATACCCCAAAATTAATATGGTGTAGGAATTCTTAAATTGACAATATGTTTCATGTTAAAAATTCTATCAACTTCTTAACTAAGAAGTAAATTCAAAATTTGACCGGTAATATTATAGAAAGGACTTTCTACTGGTCAAATTTTATATTTATTTCTTAGTTAAGAAGTTAATAGAAGTTTTAACACGAAACATATTGTCAATTTAAGAGTTCTACACTATAGTTATTTAGTAATTCTCACTGATTTGCATTATAATTAATAAAATAAAATATATGTTGATGTGTATTCTTTCAAGTCATAGTGAATTTGTGAATGTTATAAAAGATTTTTGATCAATTAATAAATTTAAATCAATTCAACAAAAAATTTATTCTAAACTATTGTTTGTTCTCATAAAGAAAATCTGATACTAAATAATCATCAGCGAATATCAATACAATCAATAACATAATATATTAATATAAAATTATAAATTGAACTGTAATTCAATAAAATATTTTAGAAGGATTCAAATAAATTTGTTAATATGGTGCGGGAACTCTTAAATCGACAATATTTTTCATGTTAAAAATTCTTTCAACTTCTTAACTAAGAAGTAAATCCAAAATCTAACCGGTAATATTATCAAGAAATTTCTTTTCTATAATATTACCGGTTAGATTTTGGATTTACTTCTTAGTTAAGAAGTTGAAAGAATTTTTAACATGAAACATATTGTCGATTTAAGAGTTCCTCCACCATAGTTCGACAAACCAAAATATTCTTATTTAAGACTTCCCTTATTTTGGAATATATTGATCAGTAAAAATATCGCACGATGCAAGATTAAAAATAAAAAATTGTGATCATTATTCAATTTATTTAATCGGCCCTCCATTTGACTCCAATACCGCATTAATCCTTCATGGCATTGATGCAGTAACCCGTTCTAAAATGACCACATCAATTTTGTTCCACTCAACCTTTAATGCGACCCTAAGTTCATCCACCGTCTTCGGAAAGATCTCATTTTTTTTAATATTATCCTTCAATATCTTCCAAATGTTCTCTATTGGGTTCAGGTCTGGAGAATTAGCCGGCCAGTAAATAATTGTGATTTTATTTTCCGTTAACCATCCCTTAATTTTTTCCGCAGTATGAATCGGCGCATTGTCTTGTCTTGTTGAAAAATGTCATAACTTCCAGTTAACTCTTTAATTGCGTTCTGGAGTGGTAATAAATGAGATTTAAGATTTCAAGATAAGTATTTGCAGTTATTTTTTCGCCATTTATTTTATATTCATCACAAAAATTAACGGACCTTTTAATTTTCCCGCGAAACACAGATTTTCGTCCACTTTTAAAGGTAGGAGCCAAGCAATTAACATTAAACTTTCTCCAGGATGCCGCCAAACTTGGCTGCCGTGACTGCTTTCCAACTTCAACACTGGTTTCATCAGAGAAAATTATTTTCGCCCAATCATAAGCTGATTTATTTTTATTTTATTCACATCATTTAATACGAGCATGTGCATGTGTTTCTGAGATATAGGATTTTTTTGCTGCGATACATGAATTAAGTCCGGAGTTGTGTAATACATTTGCGGCGGTTAATAACCTACAAGTGAGGCTTAAATTGTCAACTATTTCGCGTTGTTGTGCACGTCTTTTTCGTTGACTTCACGTATAAGTAAATCATTTTATTAGTTGTTAAGGACTGGTGGTCTTCCTGAACGCGGTAAGTTTTCACTTTTTCCTGTTCGTTTATATTTGTTAATAAAGCGATGTGTCGTTGTAGGGGTCGGGTCCAAGCATTTTTGCGATTTGAGCAGTATTTGTGGTTTCCATGTATGCCAGAATCTTTCCTTTTCGATTTCGTTAAGCTGCGTATAGTTGGGCGTCATTTTTCAACCTAACGAAATTATAATGTTGACGAAGTTGTAACAGGTAAACGAAGTGATGTTTATTATCAAAAAGAAAACTTGATAAATCAATTTTTGAAAATGATTACACGTGTAAATCGGGGCGATACTTTTAGGTGTAATGTTCGTCTATTGTACATGACATGTACAACCCCCTCCCTTTTTTACACCACCCTAAATATTTCATCAATTTAATACTGTAATTACTTATCGTTATCGTTGCCATTAATTGGATATACATGTAATTGATTATTTGTTAGTTCTATTTTTATTCGACTTTAAGTGATTAAATGTCGTAAATATAGACTTGGAAGTTTTTTGATTTTTTGTTCGGTAATATTATCAAGAAAGTCCTTTTCTATAATAACCGGTCAAATTGTGAATTTACTTCTTAGTTAAGAAGTTAATATTGTCAATTTAAGAGTTATTACAATAAATTTAAAATATATTTTTTTACGCTTCAAACTTAATTAAAATCTCAATTACAATCATGCATAATTTGTAAAAATTTAAAAAAATTTCAATCAATATTTTATTTCTACAAAGAATTTGTAATTGAGAAAATTTTAATAACTATTTCATAACGATAAATAATTACTTCTGATGTTCCTTCGAATCAGACGCATGACTTGTCAACAGTCCAATTTGGCAGGAGCTAATAGTTTGACAGGCTTTCAACGGATATTATAGGATGTATGGTGCTGTGCACAAGTTTAAAGCTGCTTGCCGTAATTCATTTTTGATATTATGACAAATGTCGTAATTGTTCAAAACAATTATGACCGACAGCTTTAGGTACAGGTACATATCAATAAATACCATATTTATGTGGACTAAAGTATCCCCTCTGTAGAAAAGTTAATTCCTAATTTTACTTCGAAACATAAATTTCTGAAGAAATGGCTCTGTGAATCTTGTTTCATTCATTTAGCCGATAAATGATCGGTTGCAAAAAATAAACTTGACTAAATACTTGACTAAATTAATGTTAAATTTTCTACTGTAAACTTATATATAAGCAACTTGATCCGATTTTATAAACGTCATTCGTTTTTATTTATCAAAAAGAATACACAAATGTCTGCATTTTTTGCGAAAATTTGATGTAAACTTGTGTCCTCCACCATACTACTGTAGTTTGATAGCAATGACCTTATCTAAGTCATTGCTTAATGAAAATGAAGATGAGTTTTCATAATTAATAAAATTAACGTCAAAATGTTCAGTAAATGTAGTTGTATTTCATATTGACAGAATAAATTACAAAAAGATGTAACAGTGAGCACATACCATACGAGGCATTAGAAGATAAACCAAGAATAATTATTTCACGAATTTTTATAAGGCAAGTATATACCTATAAAAAACCTCGCCGGTATTTTAGTCGACTTAAATTTCCCAGACAAAAATCAGAGATAATTTTGGTATTATAGGAAATACATGTAGCTAATCGTAGTACTGTATTTGAATTCGAGACCAGATGTATTCTGGTTTGGTATATGATGTAGCACAAGTAGAAACAAAACGCAAGGAATTCGAGTTTTGAGATACTGTGCATGTACATGGTTCTGTTGCATCTGTTGCACGAAAGCAATACTCAAAATATAAATCTCATCAATAATAAAAAATACGGTCTTTTACGACGCAAATTGATTTTTACGTCAAACGAAATCTATTTTTAAACAAAACCAGTTTAACACTATTACTGTAATTGAAAAAAATTCGTTAAATTCCTTGGGTTTCTACTTGTACCGCCCATATGTACTTTGTTTGCCGTTACCTATATGTTGTACACCTCAATTCAATTCCACGTACATGCGATAAGAGGTTTTTCTTTAACTGTGATTTAACCAAACCCGTTATTATTACATATAAACAATATTTATTTAAATATAGAGTGCATTCTGAAAAATAGGAGTAGATGTTGTTTGATAAGCACTAATTAACTTATCAATCTTTTTAATTCGATATTCTAAAGTTTCTTTTCGTTGACTACCTCTGAATTCTTTGCACGAAGTGAACTCAAAATGGAATCTAAAACTCATAACTGTAGTAAATGTACTCTTTGTCAAGAAAATAATTATTGCGATGAATGTTCAAAGTATCATTATCGATTTTATAAAGCTGAATGGTCTAGCAAAAGTAAAGATATCGACGGTTTAATAAAAGAATGCGCGGAACTTGAAAGATTTTTTGAATGGATCCCATATAAA